CTCGCTGCTGGTCAAGCACACACTGGCGAATTCCAACGCACCATGGCGGCATGAGTTCTCCCCACTACCTACTTTTTTTACGAGGGACGGCAAGCCCCCCCCCCCCTTTTCATTTCGGCGGTATTCTATCTTGAATTTCGGCTTGTGCCATTTATGACCCAGTTTACGGGCGAAGGGTTAAGCACAAGCCAGTGCATACATAATTCATTAACCGAATCGTTCGATATTACGGTCTATCACGATCATGCAGTCACTTCAATCGGCCGATAGATCATTTCTGATTCGCAAATCAGATGTTATTTTGTTTTTGGACATATATTATATGAAAATGTGATGATTTTGTACATCCACTTCTAAAAATTTTGTAAAAAAAGATACGGAGCGAATAAGAAAAAGAAGATCGTAGCGAAGAAAAAGATACAAAAATAATTATAGCGGATAAAAAGGATTTATTTATTATTTTTTATTGTTTACTTCTTTAAAACCCATTATCGCACGCAATATATGCAATATAATCGAACGCTAAGTGAATCTTTAAATTGATTAAAAAAAACACACAGAAATATTATAATTACTACTACTACTACCTCTTGAATATTGTACTATTTTATCTTCTAATCTTAAAAATTGTGTCTCAATGATCTTCACGATTTAAGCACTCGATCAGAAAATATGTATCACGTCATAATTGCGTTGCCATATTAATGTGAACTTGTAGTCAGCCCAGACCTACATTCGCGTTATGTCGTATAACGTCATAACGGATTTCACTGAATTACGCTATTCCAATCGAATTGTTACGTGCGACAAATATATTTACTTAATATCGATTAATTGGCATGCCCGATCTGCAGATCGACGTCTCGACAATTTTCGTATTTAATCTCGTAGCTCAATCGCGAATAAATTACGTTCTTGGTTCTCGGCACCACTTCGAGACTCAGATGCTCGTAAATGTAAACAGTGTCACATAATGTTGACACCGACAATTTCCTATAAAGGCTTCAACGTAACGTCTATTAGACACTCGTTACCAGATTGCAAGAGGAAAATTGACGAGCATTGCCGTGAAAAAAATGATATTTTTTTCTCTCGAACGGCCTCGAGTTAACGAGAAATAATTCCTTCATCACGTTAAGACTAATAATTTCGCCGCTTCAACGAATTCACGATCGCTTATGAATCAGAACAAGAAGTTGCGCGAAATAGGTAACCGCAATTGGAAAAAAAATGTCGGTTCCTTAGTATAATTGTCCTTGGAAAGTCCAACCACAAAAAAACACTAATATATATTTTTATGTATCTTGTATCTTTAGTTTCTTAATTTTTCCATACAAGCATACATTTCTCTGATGGATATATTGATATAATTATACGTATAAGCCGAAAGCTAGAACTGGCAGAAACGCCAGAAAATAATAAAAATTATAATCCTAAGTTATAATAACGCTTAATAATTGCAAAGTTAAGCGTTATTACAAAACTAATTAAATATAAAGTACAAAAAATCTAGTAAGTATATTAAAATATATATATTTACACTTAATTTTTAAGTATATATTTTGCCTTATATTTTACAATTACGCTAAAAATTTATCTTCTTTCGTTTGCGTTGAAAGTCAAATAACTTTGTAATGCATAATTCCGATTTTTTCGACTTATATGATGATTATGCATGTACTCAGTTATAATTACATTCGTAACTTATCTTACAATTTTGTTACACGTGCGATGTTAAATAAGATAAATTACCACTAATATTTTTTGCAAAATTCAGACGATAAGATGTGACAAAAATTATTTCACCATTGCCGCAATATTATTACATGTGCGATAAACATATGTTCTGCATGAAACGATGCAAATATTTACCACAATTCTATCAAATAAAAATACACATTAAAGCAAATTAACAAAATATAAAGTATCTAGATGAAAAAACATGTTTCGTTTTTGTATAATTTTATCGGTTAGATAATATTGTGTAATTTAGCAGATATTTGCTATGCATTTCAAGCTATTTAATGCCGTCCACGTCGCATTTAACGAGTCTCATGAATAAACTCGGCAATTAGTGATAGATTATCAATGTCAATCTGTGGGACATTAATATCGAATGCGTAAATAAAAATTATATCACAAATGTCGTCTACACAACCACCCCACATCTCTTTTTAAAATCTTTACTATCGCGCGTAAATTAAACATTCTAATTTTTAGTGCCCAAAATATTAATAGTTTTATTTTATAACAAAGTCGACGAAGATAAAAATTCAATTTTACTAAATGTTATATTAGACGCATACTATAAATAACACATTTATATATTTTAGATGATGAATTTAAGCGTTTTGCACATATATATTCACAATTACTATATTATTAAAATTAATCTCCACATATTATTTTTTCAGATAAATATGATAAAACACTCTATCACTAAAATACTAAATCTCTATAGACATTCCTACACTAATCGTTGTTTTAAGCATGTAATGTCATGAAAAGAATTATTAGTGTAATAATTAATTATCACTAAAATATGCAATAAAAGATCATCCAAAATATATATTCGCATATTTAATTTTATAATAATAATATAATATATATAATATTTCAAACAGTAACGCGATAGCGCATAAAAATATCTATATCGGAAAAATTGGTTTATTTGCATAGTTTGAGAGAAAGAGAGGGAATCGCGCTGAAAGAAAGATATAAGAATGAAACAATAACTTGTGTAACTTACAATTAGTGAATTATATTGTAATTTTATATGTAACACAAAAACTTTAGTTTAATGTAAAAAGATATTTTACAATAATATTCTTGAAACAATTGGCCAGTTACACGACAAAAGAATATTTATAATTACATATGTATTTGTTTGCATTTAATGCGAACGAAAAAATCTATTACAATTACATAATAAAGCGATATTTAAAATATCTGCTTTTATTTCTGAATATATATTTATTAAAACTTTGCGATTGAAATTTTTCCATAAACATATGTAAGTTATAAATATATATTCTGCGATATATGTAAGGAGAATGACCTAGAAGTTTCAATATACACATAACGATATTTAAATATCACGAAAATAAAATATAAATACAAATTTGCGAAAACATTATTTCTCAATGAGAATGGGCACATATTGCAATGTTTTTATAAAATTTTTATATTATTAATACAAGAGAAGGTATTAACATATTAAAGTACAAATAATAATAAATATAACACAAATAACATTTTGAAATACAAAGATTCTGCAAATTAGTGCTATTTTAATAAATGATATATTCCAAATATATAATAGTATTACATATATTATTAAAAACTATAATATATTTGCGATCATTGCGTTTTACGTGTTCTCTCTTCTCTTTCCCTTTATATCTCTCCCTCCCTCTCTCTCTCTCTCTCTCTCTCTCTCTCTCTCTCTCTCTCTCTCTCCCTCTCCCTCTTCCTCCCTCCCTTGCTTTCTCACTCTACATGAAAAATAGAAATTTTTTGCTAATTTGTGTAAAAACAAATATTAGCATAATTAAACAATTCATTCATTTTCCTTTGAATGAAAGACATGTACTCGCATTTCTAAATATGAAAAATCTTTAAAAAATGTATCATGCTTCTCACGGTTGCTGTTTTTATTTTTACATAGAAGCATTGACTATAACAGTTATATTATTTCTTTCCATTTCCTTTGTAGATTTATTTTTGTGTGCATTCGTTAATCGATCTCCATGTAATGTCATAATGCGCTCCACAATGCGTCGACGATTGAATGGAATCGTGATATCGATTTCCTTGGGTTCATTTTTATGGCTGATTATAACCAAACTGGCAAACAAACTTAATAATAAATGTATATATTTCTTATTATATAATAAAACAAAAAACTGCAGTGATTGAAACAATAACCTGATTTAATTTGCTTATATAGTTTATGCAATAAAAATTTTGCTTTTTTTTTTAGATTTTTTTTAGAAAAATACCTGAAAATGTGTAGGCTTATGTCTCAGTTCAGATATTAAATGTTAATACTTAAATTTAATATTTTTTAATATTAAATAAATTAATTTGTCTTTTTTTTAATTTAATATTTTCAATGAAATCTTAATAAATCACAAAATAAGTGCAATTTAAATAATCATTTACGTAAGAAAGACAATTAAAATACTTCAAAGTTTTAAATAAGTTGTAAATGAATTATATGCAAATTCTGGAACTCATATAAATTAGAGAAACTGTTCTCAATTCATATTCTTTGTATAACATCAAGAAACTCTCTTTTTAAAACAAAATAGCATACAATTTAGTTTTGCGTATGTTCTATGATTTATATACATGTATAAATTTTATTTTATTTTTATAATTTACATTTAATTGTGAATTTTATTTATCCTCTTACCATGTGTAACTCTAAATTTATATAAAAATTAAAAAGGGAATCTTACCTGTTGTTAGAAGAAGGATTATCAGAAGTATATAATGTCTTTATATTTAAAGTCAATAGTTTTATCGATTTTTTAAAAACTTTTATTTGGATTTTATTATTTGTTGAGTCTACTAAATTATTAATATGAATAGCTAGTGGACAATTCAAGTTATCTTGATTGCCAAATTCATATTTAAAAGATGAAGTAGAATTATTTAGAATAATTGTCTCGCTTGATTCATCGTGTGTAAAGAATCTGTAATTTATTACATCGTTATTGCTTATTCAAAAATTCTAATAAGAGAAATATATGTAAAACAAACATTCTTCATATTTAATTTCATTACAATTCGTCATTGTTATAAATATCACATCGTTAAATTATTTTTCAGTGTAATTAATTATCAGAAAATTGGACAAGTAAACTCGAGCTGATAATTCTTACTGTATTTAAGAGAAATAATTATTAAAAATAATTAACTACGAATTAAAAATTAATTACAAATTAGAAATAATAATTGTGAATTGAAATTGATAATGATTTAAACGATACACCTTACCTGGGACTGTTTTGCATAATTGAATTATAATATTCTACAGCTTTTGATTGTATCTGGTACAATCTTTTGCTGCGTGGCGGTTTTATTGGATTATTAGACGTACTCTGTTTTGACAGAGGGGAAACAACTTGTCTGACTTTTGATAACACTGGCATATTACTTTGACTAGTTGAATTCTTACCAAAACTATGCCTCTCATTATGTACATTAGGTGAAGATGTATTAATTATTTTAATTTCAAAAGTTTTATTGTTATCGGCCTCTAAATAACAAATATTACAATTAGTTGTTGTATTTACAATTGTTTTTCTCATCTATGTTACATACTATTCGGCGAATACTTCAAATCAACGGCGAATCAGCGAAAGGGAGTTTCAATTAGATAAACACATATTCTAACTTACTGTCCATTTCCTTCTTATCCCTTCGATTATGCAATATAGTAATATAATAAATTAAAGCAGCAGTTGCTATCGCTGTACCACAAGCTATTGTTTTACTCAAACACCAAATCGCCATTTCACTATCGCTATTCGTAAATGACAATTTCACTTTAATATATAATGTGGTGATCGCTGATGTGGCGAACACTGTTTGAAGGAACGAGTGACGATAATAAACTTATATTTCGCTAAGCAAACCTAGCCAAACATTTGAAAGCAGAACGATTTTGGTCATGATGTCTAATATTATTTGTATACAAACACTATCTATATTCTTAACACGTTAGACGTTATACTGTAATAATAAATTATAAATTTTTATAAATGATTATAATGCTATCTTGTAAATTATGATTATAATCTAGATATAACAGAAATTATATTTTATTAGAAATTATATTTGTCTATTAGCACATCAAATTTAGACATTCTGTCGAAAAAAAGTGCAGACAAATTTAAATGCACGTATAGAGTACAAGAAAGATTGCAAAATTAATTATTTGAAATTGAATTAGACAATTCAATTTCAAAAAGTCCGTTATATAATAAATTTTTAGATTTATGCAATACCTTCTCTTAAAAGAAACGCTGTTTAAATCGTTCGTTTAAGTAGGTCAATTATCTTAAAATGTAATTTTTTTATTTCATTTTATTTTAATTTCGGGGGCAGAATGTCTAAATATTCTTGTAATATATTTTGATAAATGAAATGATCCTTTAGATGACTTTTTTGTTCTATCTACTTTTGTAGATGTTAAATAACTATTTATTCTGTCCTGTTTTTTTCGATATGGTTCCTGTTCTTTAATTGGTAAGTACGATGTTGATGTGGTCGAATTACCAGCTCTAATAACAAAAATATATTACACGTTAGAAATTATTATATAAATATAAGATTGTAATATTCTTAAAGTTAAAAACATATTTTCTAACATGTCTGAACATTATTTTCTTCAAGTTATTTGTAAATTCGATTTTATTCAGTACCAAATAAAATTAATCGTGTTACGGAAAAATTAATAAAATTAAACTATAATCCAACCTGCATTGCGAATTTCTGGTAGAACTCGTCACAAGTAACTGAGGCTGTGGCAATCTTCTCGATTGTGAAGCCTCGACTGTTACTTCTGGATTCCGAATATCAATCTCAGGTACATTATGCCGGTGCGGCTCATCGACCTCAGATAAATTGCCACAATAATGTTTATCTGTAACAATTATCACTTGCAGCTTGATGATTTCATCTTCTGATGCATTTTGCTGCTCCTGCTGTCCGCATTTACATTTCTTCGCAAACCTATTAACAAAAATTGTTTAGAGATTTATTCTTTTAATATATTTTTGAAATATAAAAACTCTTATACTTATGTAGAAGGAAATTAATCAATCAATTTTGCAAAATAATCTCATATAGTTAAAAAGTTGCTATAATTTTGTCACATAACATTTCTAACCTTATATAATTGCCAAGTTTAGAATTATCTGTTGAAACAATATTTTGTGTGCTCCTCTTCAAACTCTCGCTGTTCGGTTTTTGAGATTCGTACGCTTGAGGAATACACGACGGTTTGATCGAAGCATTTTTCTCTGGTTCGATTATAATTTTTACTTCATCTGTAATATTAGAATGTTCTTTTTTCTTAAAATTCTTATTTATTATAAATATAATTTATGTAGTATATATAGTAATATATTTTTGCCTTATAATAAAATTTAAATTATATAATTATATATAATAAACTGTTGACTAATTGTACGCAAATTGCTTACGAGAAATCAAGATTATATCAACAATAGAATAATTAGATAGAAATAAAATAAAATAAAATAGAGAGAAACAGCAAAGTATAGAATGATTAATACCTTCTGTTTTGCTCTGAATATTTTCCATTTTTATATCGACATCTTCAGCTCTTTTATACTTTTGTGTACAACATAATATTGTATTCACTATCGTACACACCGTTTCACAAACCATCTTTTGTTTTAGCAGTTTTAGCAGCACTTAAAAGTTTTAACAAATGTTATAAATTCTTCTGTTACTTCTCTCGTGTTATTTCTTCGAGACAGCAATTTCAACTAACACTCAAATCGGTTGTTGTCGACTACCAAGATCAGGTGAATTTGAACAGATTTGTTTGTAAATACGAATAACCAAGAAATTAAAGCAAAACAATTTAAAATTAATTGCGGAAATGAAAACACTACATGTTATTGTGTACTTTTCTATTTCTTTGCTAACTTTTGCGCATTGATGTGTGTCACCATGGTTTTTTAGTTTTTACTTCTTATCTGACAATATAAAGTATAAAGGTATATATATAAACATGTGGAGGAAGAAGGGGGAAATGTAGCGTGCATTTTGACTGTGACAATAATAAAAGCATTACATTGGTACACCTAATAATTTCACGTTCACGCGTTTTGTAAATATAAAAAGCGTTTCTTGCTTCTTGATTTTTGCTAAGAGCAAAATGCAAACCGTCGAGACTGCAGAAACAGCCGAAGGTAGTATTGATATGCATTAAATCAGCATCAATATATTCCATTAGACATATCTTTATTCTCTAGTCAGCGTGGGAAAAAAGATAGAATGTACATAAATGAATATTTAACGATGCTTAATAGCGACTATATTAGAGCAGAAAAAAAGTCATGCAAAAAAGTTTGGTTGCGCAATCACGTTACAATGTACAGACTGCAACATAAAAAATAAACAGTTTACGTGTAAAATAAAAAAAAGATGTTTTTCGTTGAACTTTTGGATATAAAATTTCGAAAATAAATTTAGATATTTTGAATGTTTCCTATAAAGATCCACGTCTGGAAAACATTTTTCATGTAAAAATAAGAAACGTCCAATTTACAGTTATATACGTAACTTCTAACCAATAACCGTTCAACCATATCGTACATTTTTCCTGTAAAACCCGGAATAAAAAGTGCAATTGCGCAATATCCGAAGGACACAAGATCTATTTCTGTGATCTATTTCGGTATCGATATTTATATTCTCGGCAGACGAAAATGGAGGTAGTTTTTAATAAAATTTTTATAAATTAATTTCTTTATTTTATTTCGTAATTTTTTATTCTAGAATTTAAAAAGAGTCGGCAATATACGTAACACAGTTATTGACAAGATTCCGTTAGAATGTAACGTATGCGCAACAATATAAGCTTTTTGCGAGGTAATACAACATATGAAGACTTATCAAGCTTGTCAATCGATATCGCCAACAGGATCGTTATATCAGCGTTTGAGAACACGCCTATCAAATTACTGTAGGAATTAATTATTGCGAGGAGTTGTAATTATTTTTTTTATACTTACGGAGGACCTTGGCGTTTCTTCAAAAGATTAATGATTCTGGTTACAGACAAATTTGCCTTACGTTTGTAATGCGTTAGCGCGTTAATTTATATAAAAAGCTACAAATTTATTTACATGTAACTATTAATATTATATGCAGAAATGTGGATTAAATATAAAGTCCGTTTAAAACAATTAAAGCAATTTATTTTCGTTATTTAATTCAACAAAAGAACATGCTTGAAATTATCTATTCATTATCGTACCGGTCTGGCGAGTTCTCTGTTTTAAAAAAGGATTAAACGTACTTTTCATTTAGCGACGCATGAACAATAGAATTAGTATAATGTTATACTTGGTTATACTTGGCTATACTATGAACATTATATTCCCACGATAACATAATAAAACTAATTTGCTTTGTGTAATTTACACTCAATGACTTAAATAGCCTAAAAAATATCAAGGTTAATAAGTGATTAGTTACTAACGAGCATTTAATTCGATTTACCTAATTTGTTTTTTAAATAGTCTTGTTAACATTTCTGTTTTTATTGTCATATAATTATATAATATACAATTATATATATATATATATATATATATATATATATATATATATATATAATAATCGTGCGCAGAAAATTTGGTATTGCATTCTTTGAATCTATACTTATATAAATGCAAAAGAAAAATATTTTGCAATTTCGATATGAGGGGTCTTTATTTGTGTGTATATATTTAATTGTCGTGTTATGTAATTAATATATAACTGATATGAGTCATTGATTAAATTTATTGTACTGAGCTGCCAAAAAGATGGTGACGTTAATAGATCTAACATGAAGTAATGGCCATAAAATGGAAAAAAATGTAATCTTTTCTAAATGAATTATGTCCTTGACTCGCACTTTCCACACTTACATCCGTGCTAGACCTCAACCTGAAGAGAATGCATATCCTGTACGTTTATCTATTTGCTTGTACAATACATAAATATGTTGCTAAATAGCAATAGTACGAAAGAGACTAACGAGAGCCATTAAGAGATGTACAAGTATTTTCTTTGTGTGCAAATAAGAAATTATTATTTTTATCTATAATAACGATACATTTATAACTTAATGTTAACGTACCGTGTTAATTTACTCAGTTTTATTTGCACAACGTTTTCTATCGCAATAACCAATGACATAAAAGTTGTAACATAATGCAACACTGAAATACCACACAGTAAATAAGTTAAATGGCAATTTACATACCACGTGAAAAAATATCCAGCCATAAAATAAAAGAATTATAATTTACAAAAATCGTCGCCACATGCTGCGTATCTTGATAATAGATATATAGGTAATTGTAAGCTAATAACTGTCTGTATTACATTATGCACTCATGTAACGAAATCTCTCACGGTCAGATCTGTTAGCGGAACAGTTACTGCACGCTCATAGCTATTACTTAGGTAATCATCACGATCGTATGATATCCTAATCAGCTCGAAACTTATGATTATGAAGGCCCTTCGCTAACAGAATTAATGTTTATATCATAGTTTATGATTGAAATTCTTATACAATTACTAGCTGACGCATATCATTTCAATTTATTATAAATTATTTATATATTAAAACGTAATATATTAAAAATATGATTTTTTTATATAATTTGGAATCTTTAGCAAGTTCCGAGATCATTGTTTGACGCAAAATTTTATTTTTTTTATTTTTGTAATTAATCCTTAAAGACTTTAAATCTGCTCATATAATGACTAATATTAAACAAAGAATAAGATTTTAATTTTTATTTGTATCTTTGAAACTGTTAGTTTCCTAAAAGCTCTTTACCTTAGTTATTTATAATTAAAGAACTATTTATCTGTTGTTTTTTTAAAACATTTCGATATTTTAAAAAAAAATTTACTCTACATTGTTCAAAAAATCTAGATAAAAAATGGTACTTTGGAATATCTAGTATATCGTTTTATTTTGAATATTTTTGATGTATCAACAACTTTATAATTATGACAATTTCAAATTGATTGCAATTGCATAGAAACATTATTTATACAGCGTAAAAATCATTACTATCAAAAATGAACATAGATAAACGCGCATAGTTAAATATGATAATTGCAATCGGATATTCAATCAAACATTCCAAAGTACTAAGTATGCACGTTATCTGCGCGATTTTGTCGCTCTATTAATTTACATGCCTTTCCTTGCATATTTAGAGAAACGCGATCAAGTTTCTATCATAAGTAACGGAACAATTGATGCACAGTTAATCATTGTTGCATCACTAACTTTGTAAATAAAATATCTTTTGAACTTAAATTATATTTTAAAATACGAATGATGCTATAATAAAATTCCAACTTTACAAAAATACAGAAGCCGCGAGATTGTATCAATTTCGGCATGATTGTATCAAATCGTGGCACGACTTTAAGGACAACGTGTGAATCATCAAATCGTGAAATTCTCTGAAACGTATAACGTATTTCAAGGCGAATATACTTTCGAAAATGTAAAATCGTAACGCGATTCAAGATTTGAGCGGTCTGCCGATACGATTTAATCAAAATACCGAATAAGCCATCCGTTCCGTAACGGGGTAACGTAATTGGCCATGTACTATCTCTAGTATTCGTTATACGGAGCGTGTTAAATGGTTGCGCTTACGTGCGTTTAAAAATCGTGTACGTGCCATATAACGACCTTGGTCTCCATAGCGTAGTACAGCACTGTTAACTTCGTACACTTGCATGTGTGGGAGGGAATCTATATATACTAAATGTTTATGACAAACAACCGGTAACTTGATTAATTATTAATTGAAGGATCAAGGATCGCCGTACACGGATCGCGAGCGTGGGCGTTTAGAATTCTCGCGTGATCTAAATCAGCATCTTTGCACCTTGAAATTGTAATTATCTGTAATAAAAGAGGATTGGTGTCAATGGCCACCCAGTACATTAGTTCCAGCAAAAGCTACAATGCATTCCGATGCATCGAATTTCTGGTAGATAATTCAATCAATATAGCAAAAATATTAACTTAACATTATATTTTATAGTAAATTTTTATTTACAAAATTATATAATAAAATTTCTATTTGCACGATCTATCAAATTAGATCTCAATCAGATTTTTATCAAAAATTACTTATTATTTTTCGATTAAAAACCACTTTCTCTAATTAATAAATATGTAACAATAGCAATAGTATGTTAAATATTTCAAATAGCTATATCACCCTCCCGCGATAAATATTTAATTGACAGCATTATGTTAATTAGATTGGCTTCGTGTGCTAAACCTGTTTTCCGCGCCGCTTGGTAATCACCCATTCGCTCGTGTCATTGCATGATAGTTGAAGAACGAGAGCATGCGAAAACCACGCTGAAAAATGAAATCATTCCCTGTACCGAATATCCCGGGCGTTGTTTTTGTCAGGCGGACAGCCGGCGTGCCGGTGACATAAAGACACAATGTAGAACAAGGGCAGGTGGCATTGCGTCACCTATACTTCCTACTTCTGAAACACCGTAAAGGCAGAATTGAATAATCTCGCGTAGCGGAAAAGCAACAGACTCCCGACGAGGCTAATCTAAGGTCGATTACTTTGCCATACGCCTGCACTTATCTGACTCATAACGGCAAAGTAGAAGTCTATCGACCCAGAAAGTTTCCTTCCTTAAACTTTATAGCAAAGCTATGTTGTTCA